CCAACTACCTATGCAAGGGTCAACAGTTTATGACCCACAGGCTGAATCTGCTCCACCATCTGTTTTTATACAGCATGCAAACTAAAAATGGATTTACTCCTTTATTTTACTTTTTTAAAGATTTATTTTATTTATTTGAAAGAGTTACAGAGAGAGGTAGAGACAGAGAGGTGGTCTTCTATCCGTTCACTCCCCAGATGGCCACAACAACTAGAGCTGTGCTGATCCGAAGCCAGGAGCCAGGAGCTTCTTCCAGGTCTCCCATGTGGGTACAGGGGCCTAAGGACTTGGGCCATCTTCTGCTTTCCCAGGCCATAGCAGAGAGCTGGATCAGAGAGGAGCAGCTGGGACTAGAACTGACGTCTATATGGGATGCCGGTGCTTCAGGCCAGGGCTTTAACCCGCTGTACTACAGAGCTGGCCCTGGATTTACTTCTTTAAAGAGCTAAAAAATATGAAAAGCAGAATGTTTGTGATGTAAAATTATCATTCAAATATCAGTGTCCATAAGTAAAAGTTCTTTGGGACATTATTATATGCACTTGTTTATGCATTATCAATGGCTGCTTTTAATTACAATGTCAAAATGGTGTGCTCTGCCAAGAATAAATTCTTGACTATAAAACCCCTTATGGGAAAAAACTGGTGATCTATAGTCTGACTACAGCTGCTTCTGGCAAATATTGGTGGCTGCTTCTCTTCTTCCTCCAAGGTCCCATGGAAGTGCTTCCTTTTGGCAAATCCTTAGAAAAAGATGGGGGATGTAGTTTGAAGAAATGTCACTCTTGGGTCCTCCTTAGATTTGCAGAGAAGCAGTGGCACTGAGTTGCCAACAAACAATTGCAAATAGTCACAGCATGGTTGGGGACCTCCAAGGCCACTCTCAGGTGGAATGATTAGTTATAAGGACTCAGAGAATTCAGAGGAGCTGTGATAGGCATGGTAATGATTTACTGCAGCAGAGTGATAGATATTAAAATCAGCGAAGGTAAAGGCTCATTGACAGAGTGCAGGAGAGACCAGACACAAACTCCCAATTGTCCTCTCCCAGTGGAGTTTACAGACAGTGCTTCATGACCCCAGTAGAGATGTGTCATAACACATGGGAAGTATTTTCTCCCAGAAACACGCACAACTCATGACTTTTAGTGGGGTTATTGACATAGGCATGGCTGACCACTTGTGGGACTTGACCCTATTTACTCAGTTTCCATCCCAATCTGGAAGCCAAACTGATGTGGCGTAGCCCAAGGTCTTTACTATAAATAACACCATTGGCATAAAGTGTCCTGTGTGGCCAAAGGCCCCAGGTAAACAAAAGTCTGACCAGGCAGGATATTCCAAGGTCTTTTAAAAATATTTATTTATTTTTATTTAGTTGAGAGAGAGAGGTCTTCTATCTGGTGGTTCATTCCCCAAATGCCCATAACATCCAGGGCTCTGTCAGACCAAAGCTGGGAGCCTAGATCTCAATCCATGTATCCCATGAGGGTGATAAGCACCCAAGTACTTGGGTCATCACCTGCTGCCTTCCAGGGTATACATTAGCAGGAAGTTGGAGTTAAAAGCAGAGTTGGGACCCTAATTCAGACACCCTGATAATGGATGCAGTGTGTGCCATAAGTGATGTCTTAACCAGGTGTCAAGCATCTGTCCCATGTAGTCCCAGGTATTAGCAGTCTTCCCCTGGGAGCCTGTCAAGAGCCAGTCTTGATGGGTTTGATCACCTCTGCTGAATACATAGAAGGGCTGAAATTGGCTCTCATATCTCATGGGATCCCAGAGATTGTCTCATTAAATCTCCTATTTTATAGATCAGAAAAATAAAGGTTTCAGAACCATACAGCTGTGTATTTAAATCCCAATTTTACTACTAACAAGCTGTATGGTCTTGGACAAATTATTTAATCTCTCTGAATCCAGCTCTTCCCACAGATGCTCACAAAGTAAAGTTATATTAAGGATAAAGAAATACTTTATCAAAGTGCATAGCTAGATTAGTGGGTTTAGGGGACAAATAAAAAAGAATGGGTTCCATTGTGGTGGTGAGTTCTTTGGAAAGATATTTAACGTTG